TGGCTCAGTCGTCGTCAGTCCGCCGTGCAGTACCAAGTGACCCACCTTTTGCAGAAGTGCCACCGGCTGCAGCGACAAGTGCAACATCTGTTGCTGAAGTGGCAGTGCCTGCGCAAGGATCTGCAGTCGGCGCCAGACTTGCACGTGAACATGGAGCAATGGACATTCCGGTGCAAGTCGGATTCTTACCTCTGAGTTCGCGAGAGCTACCTTTTGTCGTGGTGCCCGTGTGCTGGTCTTCTGCAGCTCGCAAGCTTGACTACTACCGTGCTGTCGTGCAGGCCGCAGGGCTGACCACTGCTGCACGCACCGAAAGCGGCTTGGAAAGCCGTTGCTTTGAGGGCCTCACAAGGCTTGCCAGGGAAGAAGCTCGTCAGCTACATGATGCTGGTCAGATAGAGAAAGCACAGAGATGGATCAAGGCCATAGGCCGCGTCGCTGCTGCTCGGAAGAACCTGTCGCACTTCGGACGTGTATGGTCCCGACATCCAGCTCAACGTGACACTTTCCGTCAGACGACTTTGCATGAGACGCCAAACCCAAACCAGCTTCTTGCTGCAAGCTTTCAGGTTCTGCAGGGCCGTGCTTTTCCTCACGGACCGCTGTCTCACGCTTTTAACTTTCCCGAAGATCCACTTGCTGAGCTCATGGATGCCCTGTTCTTTCTTAGCCGTGGCCACACGCCATGGCTTCCTAGAGACCAGGTGTGCCAACAGTGTACGCCGGACGTTTTGGATGATTTCGAAGCTTTGTTAAGTACTCTCCAGTCCATGAATGCAGTTCACGTTGCAGTTGATTGGCAAATTCGCCTGGACGCCTCAGTCTACGATACGGACCGCACTTGAAAACATACGTGCCTGTGAAGTTTTCTTTGCTTGCGCCACAGCGGGGCATCGTCTCGAGACATGCCCTGTCTTGGCCAAGGATCTGCTACAGCTTGTAAAGCGCAGGCATGACAGCAAGGCCATCCAAGACTTTGTGGCTAAAGCTTCCAACAGCAGCCAAGGCTGTAATGTTGTAGGCATGGAGGGCGTGCACGGCGAAGGAAGGAAAAGAACGAAGATGATCAGCAAAAAGACTCGGAACAAGACCAAGAGATCACGAAAGAAGGGCGTGTCTGCGAAGATGCACCGCGCCAAAGTTGTGCGCCAGAATCAGCGACGCGACTTGCGGCAGGAGCAGTATCTCAAGGGTGCTGAAAACCTTCTCAAGAAGCTCAACTCCTCGGACTTCAACAAGGAGAAGATGGCGTTCAACAAGCTTTGCCGTATCGGATGGGCCAAGTGCCCTCGCCGATGCCATTGTGGTGGCAAACTATCCGCACTGGTTCCGTGCGCGACCAGAAGAACATCAGGTATCTCACGGTGTTATTGCTTTCCTGTTTGTTGTGTAGGTGACCACTTGTTTGATAAGCAACTAAGTCTTGTAACACTTTAAGATAGGTCAGATAGGTTTTCCAAACTTTTGGTCATCCAAGGCAGCAATGCATTCTTTAGATGCAAAGCCAAGCATTGTCAGCAGTGGGTGCCTGCTTACAATGGGACGTTCCTGCAGAACTCCTACAGAGGGCTAGGGCTGCAGCAGCTGCTGTTGATTCCGGAAACGTTTTACTCCACACACGTCGACAGGCATTCACTCCAAAGGAGTTTGGAGGCGACAGTTTCTCCGAGGCCCCAAGCCTGCATTGCAGGCGCACAGTGGCACAGTGGACAATATGTGGAAGCAGATGCAAGAAGTCCTGCCTTCCACACTACGAGTTTCGTCCCCAGATGGAGAGACCAAAGTCAACCCTGCTTTAGTGGAGTATCTGTTTCAGTTCTCTTTGCGCTGGCACCATGAAGGAAACTTTCAGTGCCTGAAGCAGAAAGTTGGGGACTTCCTGCGAACTAAAGGGTGAAAAAGTGCTTGCCCTAAGTTTGCATGTGCATGAACGCTGGCACGCGCAGCGAAATCGGTAGGGCAGAAGTGGCCGCGCCAGGCCCTAAACCCTAAACCCTAAACCTTAATACCGTCAGCCGACCCGGATCGAAAGTATCGAGGCCAGGCCCGATGCACGCCGAAGATTGCCAATGACCCAATGGCCCAAGGCTTATGCCTGTGGAATACGAACCCAAGATCCTGAACCATGAATCCAAACCAAACTCCGAATCCTGAATCCTAACCCCTAAATGCTAAATTCTACTCCCTAGACCCTACACTCTAAAAAGTGGCTTTGGGATTCCGGTTCAAAGTTTCAAGTTCAGTGTTTCGGAGATTAAGGTTTAGGCTGCGAGAACTGGACCTCTCTGCCCGAGTCCACCCCCAAAAGTTTTAACATGCGCTTGGGTCCAGTCGGGTTCGGGCTGCGCAATCATGGAGCCCTTCCTACCCTGAGCACCCTGCCTCTGTGCCAGCCGAATGAGCGCGCATCTCATGGCTCCAGGGGACAGCTGCTGCCATAGCCCTGTCTTGAGCCCTGGAACCCTATTACTATCGCTACGATGCCGCTATGAGGACTGCACCACTACCGTTACTTGACAAAAGTTTGTTTCAACGGCCACCCACCACTGCCGCTGCCGCTGCTGCTGCTGCTACTCCTACTCCTACTCGAACCTACCACGACTACTACTACTACTACTACTACTACTACTACTGCTGCTGTAGCATACACCCCAAAGCCTCCAGCCATGACATCTCTCTGAACCCTGAAGTCTGAATCTGAACCAAGTCCGCCCTTTAAACTCCGGATCCCTGCGGCCGCGCTTCTGTCCTGGTTTTGATTACAAGGTATTGTATTCTGCTTTTTGTCGTACAATACTGTAACTTTCAGTTTAGGGTTTAGGGTTTAGTGTTTAGAGGTATTCTATTCTACGGTAGTATGTAATGTTTCGGCTAAGCGAGATCAGCACTGCAGCAGATCTTGAGCGTCAAAACGGCATACCTGCACTGACGGGACAAATGGACCCGCACCGTAACCCTGAACCCATAATCCCTTGACCCTACGCAACCTCACGATCATGAAATGCGGAGATCCCACGTACAACATCGGTTGGCTTCTGCATGTCTTGTTTTGGAAGTGAAGGAGCTGACCCTAAACCCTAAACCGCTTGCATGGATGAAAGAGGATCCTTACCAGATTAAATATTTACCTATACTATCTTGGGTTTAGGGTTTAGGGTTTAGGGATAATTACCTATACTATTTTGGGGGGGCTCCTTTTTATAAGCATAGTATAATAGCCGGGTAAGCAAAGTCCCTAAACCTCTAAGCCCTAAACTCTTAAACTCCTAAACCCTAAACCCTAAGCACTAAACTCTAGACCCTAAACCCCAAAACCCTGAACCCGAAAGTCTTGAAGTAGACGGAAAAACAACTAAACCCTAAAGTCCCTAAACCCAAAAGCCCGAATTCCTTAACCCTAAGTCCTAAACTCAAAAAACCTTAAGCCCCAACCCTAAACTCCTAAACCCTATGCCCGGGTAGTGATGGCCCGTCGTCGTTTTCGCATCAGTATCATAAACATAGCAGAACAGCCGTCGAC